AACTCTCTACAACTGATAGGCAACGTAAGCACGAACCTCGCCCTTCGAACAAAGTTGATATGATCCCAGCCAAAGGGAATGCTATGTCCTAACCATGGGAGCCAGTAGGGGACTACCCTTACTGGTCTTGGACTTCCTGCATCTGTACTCTTACCGGGCCAGCTTTTGAGGCCAGTAATGATGCGGGTAGCGAGACATGAGAAGAGAAAAATAGCCAGCAAGGTCGGCCACAGCCACTCTCGAACATCGTCCATAGACAATTGTAGCAGGCTACTTGGGGCTAATTTATGGGTTTCCATTATCCCCATGCGAGAAAACCGAGCAGAAGCTGTAAAGGGGACACTGCCCTGGCAATGGAGGGAATGCTAAGAGACCAAGAGAGGGAAAACAGACATATGAAGACAAGCCAGGAGAATAGTCAAATAGCAATAGAAGCCCGAATGATGGGACCAAAGTTACTTAAATAAAAAGAACAACGCAATTTCACGATGGCAATAATTATTCAATTAATCTAAGAGAACAAAAAGATACATTGAACGCAGAAGGAACTTGAATCCTCATCATCAGGATTGTGTAATATTGGGTAAGTATGGGAACCGTAATTTTACATCATCCGCTTACTCAGCAGTTTACTGTCTTCCTCCTCTAATGAGGGTCAACCACTCAAACTGCTGCTATCATGAGGTGCTTCACTATGTTTCAAGCCGCTATGCTAGAGCGAATTCCGAATTTCAACCTGATTCCATTGACATAGTATACACACATCGTTACATCATCAAACATAACCGGTTGACGCGACTCACGACCCATACATCATCCAATCAATGTTCGCTTCGAAGAATCTTCTGTAAATATGCACTTTCCTTCTCATATTTCGCAATATTGTTTTGCGAACTGTATACTTTGTTGAGCAACCATTGGATTCGGTCTGTCAGTTCCCGTGGCTGCCTAGGCAGTGAGCCCAGCAGGCTGAGTTCTTCCTCGTACTTTCCGATGCTCTTATTCTCTTTGTTGACCTTCTGTGCTATGATTGCGAGATCCATCCGACTGCTCAACGCTTTGTTCTCAGTGACCTTCTTGAAGGCTGCGCGAAGAACGGGCTTGCCCGGCCGGATCGTCTGGGGGCAGCCGTTGACGGCGGTGATTGAAATGAGTTCGGCGTGCTCGAGAGCGCGAAGGGTGATCTCTCCATTCTCTTTGAAGAGCTCGGAGAGAACAATTTCATTGTATGACAGAGCACCATCTTTGGACTCTGCAAGCCTTTTGATCAGATACCAAGCCTGTTCGTGGGTCCACGACTGCTCTATAGTTTCCGGCGTCAAAAGGAACATCTTGAGAATTTCAGATGCCGATTGTTCGATAATGCGGTTGACCGCGCCTTGAGCGTATGTTAGTAAACTATCATGGAACGTGACTGGTGCTCTTGACGTACCTCGCGGGGTCTCTCCCGCCTCAATACGGTGTGCCATGAATTCAAGATCTGTCACCCTGCCTCCCAAGGTCTCAATGCAAGCGTCTAGGTCCTCCAGCTCTTCAGCCCGCCCTGGCTGAGTCTTTCCATCCTTTGACTCATATGCCAAGTGATTCACAACAAACTTTCGGCCGACCTCCAGAGAACAGTCACCCAGGGTGATTGTGCGGAAAACCGAATTTGGTAACGCTTTGCTCAAAGGTTTGGCGTACGAGACGTCGGTCGTGAGGAATATGACATGGGCAATGTTTCCGGCTGTTAGGCCAGCGGCCCACTCGGTGATCTTGTCGTACACAACGCTGCTCTCGGAAGCATTGTGCAGGTAGTTGTCGATTACCACCACTGGGCGAAGCTCAGGATGAGCCTCAAGATACTCTTCATCGGTCAGATGCGAGTCCTTGTCATTCTTCTTTCTGTGCTCCAAGGTCACTTTCTTCAAAGCGGTGGCCGTGTTTTGCCAGATGTTGCTCAGCTGGGCGTCCAACGTCTCCGAGAACCCTGCCTTGGTCCCAATCATGCCCTGTGCCGCGAGATCGATAAAACTGCTGATGCTGTTCATCCATGAGAAAACCGGCCGGTAGCCTACCTGGCTGGCTGCCCTGGCAATTTTCGCACTGTCACCCCGTGCGTCTTGAATTTGTTTACAGTCGAGGACTAGCTTATATTTGTAATCGACCAGGGCCCGGTCCAACACAAGCTCCCGCTTGCCCGAGCCACGGGGTCCATGAACAACGATGAAAGTTTCCACATTCTCCATTAGCCAGGATTGCAGTCGAGTAATGTCTTCCTGACGGTCCTCCCAAATGGCAGTGAGCCCGCGAGGATCCGCCCCTTTGCGACCAAAATATATGATGTTTGCTTTGTTGACCTGTTTGCGGATCCATTGCACCACACCATTCTCTTCGGTCTGAAGTGTCGACTTTATTTTCAGTTTGATGAAAAATGTCCGCATTGGATCGAAGATGGTGACGGTGATGGCGGCCAAGAGGGCGGCGAGCACCGGAATAACGATCCTGGGATGACTCAAAAGCCAGTCCTTGATCATGGACAGCTTGATCTTCCGCTCGTACTTTATCTTAAGCCGAGTGCCCGATTTGCCGCCACCCTCTTGTTCTGGGACGGTAAATCCGTGCATACAGTTCTTCGCCATGCCAGCGTACTTGGGCCGAGAAAATTCCACAAAGGCGTATCTGGGCGTGACCTTCGAGTCAGAAGGCTGTTTTTCTATGTCTCTGATCTTCCCATAAGGGCGAAATAGAGTGTATAGAGTCTCCGTGTTCAGGTCTGCCGCTGATGCTTCGGGGGACACAGGGTGAAACGCAACCTTGAGGCGGGGACTTGGAATGCGGTAGAGATCTTCTATCCAAGGCCTTCCAACAACCCGACATACTTGGACTGTTTGAAAAGGATTGAACCAGGGCCTAATGGGATTCTCTTTCAGATTCTCTTTGATAGATGCTTCAATGTCGTCGTCGTTGACGTTGCTTGGACGAGTGTACTTGACAAACGCGCCGCCTTCCCTGAACCGCGGAACGACCTCTTTAACTTGGATATTCAGGTTCCTTGGAACCACTCGTTGGATGATCTGAAAAGTATCCGATGCGGCCAAATGCGGTCTGTCGATGCGCTTCACGGCCTCCTCGTAGGACCGCATACCACCCAGCGGGCCCCGCAGCAGCCATTGGAGTTTAGACGGAAAGATATCTATTTTTGAAGCATGAAGTTACGCGCAGGTCGATAATGGAAGATAGGCAAGGTCTTACTATTGATAAAAAGGAGTCCCTCGTTTTCTTTCAGATCAATGTGTCCTGTCTCGAGCCATGACACTGCATGTGAAGTACTCCATCTTGCATAGCGGACTCGAGTCAGTTGTGTAGGAGAAGGTTTCCAGGATAGAGGGGTCTGGCAGATTCGAGGTACCAAACCCGGGGTTCGAGTTCGCATCATCGCGGCGAGGATGACATTATTTTTGAAAATTGAAGAAGAGTGCTGCCGAAGATGATTGTGATGATTGAGATCCAAGAGTACTTTCAATGAGGGGAAGCTTGGTAACTGCTTATGACGTCGATCATGAGTGCATGTGTAAAGTCTATACAGCATGTAACAACATTTATTACACGAATGTTTATAAGTTGCTCCAGATTACCGTCACAGCGCGTTTGCAGGATGAACTGCGAAATTTACACCTCCGAAGATGAAGATCGTTTTTGCATTCAAAGGTGTAATTTATTGACGTGGATGGCTCGATCCACAAGACAAAAAGATCCCTCCATCCCATAATCTCCCAGCACACGATAAAGTCAAAATGGGCTGGCTTTGGAGATCATCCCCCTCGAAGGAGGAGGAACCTCAGACAACCTCCTCTATGCCTTCTTTGTCCGACAATGCGGCGCCGCACCCATCACCCGCAGCAGAGGCACCAGGCACCACCAAGCCATCGTCGCAGTCTCGGCCGTTGAGCCGCGAGGAACAAGCGGACGCAGAGTTCAACCAGTTGCTGGAGAGCTTAAAGGCCGACGTATCACGAACAAAATCACCACAGCAGTCGTCCAATGTCTCAGAATCTCACTCATCCTCATCATCACCGTCACCTTCCGGCCCTCCGCAACCTCCAGCTTCGATCGCCCCCGAGTCTCTCTACCCCGATTCCATGTCCTGCCGCTCTGCGTTTGACTACGCGTTTTTCTGTCAGTCGTTTGGAGGCCAGTTTGTGAACGTATACCGCTACGGCGAGCTGCGGTCGTGCAGCGAACACTGGGATAATTTCTGGCTGTGCATGAAGGCCCGCGGAATGGCGGACGAAGAGCGCAAGAAAGTGATTCGGGACCACTACCGGAAAAAGGCCGTCAAGTACAAGACGGGGCCGAGCAGTGAAGATGTCTGGGACCTTCGGAGGGAGCCAGTGCAGAACGCTTTCCAGGGAGATTTTGCCGCACTGGAGAGGGAGATGAAGGCCGAGGAGGAGGCAAGTCGCAGCGCTGGTGGGATATAGAGCCATTCTTTGCTTTGGGCCCCTGTCTTTCTTGTGCCTCTTTCATACCGTCTGGATTGGATACCTGCCCCCTCTGGGACGATTGTATTATACATTGTGGACTTACGGAGTACATCTCTTATGCTTAGCAACTGGGATAAAACTGAATGAATCAAGTCTTATCATCCTTGACCCGTCGCTCCAGTTTCAAACATGCATAGCTGCTCTTTCATGACTCGAAAGCACGCTCTCCGCCGGTGATACATACAAAGCATTGTGTCTAGAACAAGGACAAAGAAGAATCCGCACCAATGCCCTTGTTCTCATTGTTTACCCTGCACCGAGGCTCAGTATCAAGGCTCCAAGTCAACGCATGTCTCATATCACTGTCACAGACCTTAGAGGCTGAGCAGACCACAATGATTATAAAAGAAGAGGAACAGCGCAGCGAAATAATGAAGCTACAACTCAACAATTCCTGCATTCCCTCAAGCCCCCAAACCAAGCTTCAAGATGAAATCTCGTCTAACTAACCTCCTGCTCCTAATCATCCTCATCATGGACTGCTCTTCTTCACCTCCAAGGCCCCAATCAACACCGTCGTCTCCACCACCACGACGTCGTTCGCGGAGACGGCGGCGGTTCTCAGACCGCTTCGCGTGTAATCACGGCTCCCACACTGACGAAGACAACAGGTATCCGCTGGAGTGCACGCAGTCGCATGGAAGACCCAGCGACAACCACCAGGAAGATAAAGCCCCGCCCGCCAGAAAGAACGTCCGCTGGGGTCCCGTCACTGAGATTTCCAGCCCCAACTACAGAAGCCGCGAGCGTGTGCGCAGCCCTAGCCCATCACCGTGCAGGGTTGCAGCCAAGCCATGCTTGAAGCCGCCCACTCCTTTGGATCAGGAGATGGTCCAGAGGAATCTTCGGGCCATGGTCGACGAGTCTACGCACCGTCTGAACATGTACTACAGCGCCATGGAGTACTTCTCCGGCGACGTGGTTCTGGACGAGGTCATGTGCCAGGACGAGAGACAGCTTTTCCAAAAGGCAAGGAGACAATCTTTGAAAGATACGTTCCGCTTTGCCAGGTCGCCATCTCACATTCCGTCCACGTCGAGCTCGGGAAGATCGCTTTGAGATGAATGAATGCAGAACGAATAGCGAAGTGTCACGACATCCAGGTAGCCTTCTCCTGGCATTAGGAATCAGGACTGGCGACGGGGAAGGTAAGCTCTTACCTCCAATAACGGCTCTCAAAAGCAGAATAGACTCGACGAGTCTCAACTCTTTTCTCGGACATTCAAATGGTCGAGCAGCATTATCAGCAATCAAGAACATCCTGGACGGAACGAAACAGTAGACAGATGAGGTACGCCTCCTTTGTGTGTCTTCCTTTTACATTCCTGCCAGCAGATTTACACTTATGACCCCGAGGTCAATCCTCCATCTTGCAAGACTGAATTACTCTATTTCCTTGTTTTCGCTTCCTTTGAAACACTAGAAACAGCACAAAAAAATATAAAATAAGTTTTAGATTGATGATAGAAAAAGATATGTACATAAAACATAAGACATAGAACTTGCGGGAATCGTAAAAGCTCCGGCGACACCTTAATGTTCGCCATAGATCCTGAAAACGACGCTGCAACCAAAAGCAAACCCGCCATTCTCAGAGAATAATCAGAAAGTGAGGTGCGAGAGGTGAAAAGAGTCAGTGAGCCTCCCTCGGTCACATCCATGTAATCGTGATGCGCCTAACATGGTAGATACAATTGACCACCCTGTAATGGATTCGGGATCAATCAACGGACTTTTCAACAACAAAATAAAAGATATCTTAAATCATTATCATCATGGAAATACTGTCACAGCCCCAGACGTAGCGAGGTCCCAGTCGTCTAGGCGACAACAGTCGTGGTCTCGCTTGTCTTTGGGACCATGTCAATGGCTGGCCGGCGTACGATACCACCAGTCACAGGAAGCTGAGAGCTGGTGCCCGTCAGGAAGCTGTCAACTTCACGAGCACATTGACGGCCTTCGTTGATACCCCTAGAAGACAATGTTAGTTATGGTCCGTTGGTTTACCCAGCCTTGAGTGAATTTTGTATGGGTGTAGACTTACCAGACAATGAGGGACTGTCCTCGGCGGCAGTCACCAGCAGCAAAGACGCCGGACACACTGGTTGAGTAATGACCTGGAGGCGTCTTGACGTTCTTACGGGCATCACGCTCAATTTCATCGCCCAGAAGGCGGTCTTCAGGACCGAGGAAACCCATAGAAAGGAGAACAAGGTCCGCAGGGAAGAACTGTTCGCTACCCTCAATGGTCTTCATATCCCAACCGCCAGAGGCGCTCTTGGTCCATTCGACACGGACAGTGTTGATACCCTTGACGTGTCCGTTACCGTCGTCGACAAATTCAGTAGACATGACACAGTACTCGCGAGGGTCCTTGCCCATGTGGGTCTTGACCTCAGAGTGGCCGTAGTCGACACGGTAAATACGGGGCCACTGGGGCCATGGGTTGTCACGGGCGCGCTCTGGCGGGGGCTGAGGCAGCAACTCGAAGTTAACAACAGACTTGGCACCATGGCGAACAGAGGTACCAATGCAGTCGTTACCAGTGTCACCACCACCGATGACAACAACGTGCTTGTCCTTGGCAGATATGTACTCGCCGTCAGAGAGACCCGAGTCGAGAAGAGACTTGGTGTTGCGGTGCAGGAACTGCATGGCAAAATGTACACCGTCGAGCTCACGGCCAGGGACCTTCAGATCGCGGGCAACAGTGGCACCAGTGGCGATGACGACGGCGTCATTGCTCTGGCGAAGCGAGTTCAGGGACACCTCGCTGTCAGGGCCAACGGCAGTGTTGGTGACGAACTTGACACCCTCGGCGGCCATGAGGTCGACACGGCGTTGGACGATCTTCTTATCAAGCTTCATGTTGGGGATACCGTACATCAGCAGACCACCAATACGGTCAGCACGCTCGTAGACAGTGACACTGTGCCCAGCGCGGTTAAGCTGGTCTGCAGCGGCGAGACCAGCGGGTCCGGATCCAATAACAGCGACCGTCTTGCCGGTGCGCGTCTTAGGTGGACGAGGAACCATCCAGCCCATCTCAAAGCCACGGTCGATGATAGCACACTCGATAGACTTAATGCCCACAGGATCTTCATTGATGCCCAGCACACAGGCGCCTTCGCAAGGGGCAGGGCAGACACGACCAGTGAACTCCGGGAAGTTGTTGGTCATGAGCAAACGGTTGAGAGCATCCTGCCATTGGTTCGCAAATACTAATTCATTCCACTTGGGAATGATGTTGGAGATAGGGCAACCAGTGTCAGATTGGCAGAAGGGGACACCACAGTCCATGCAACGAGCGCTTTGATATTTGAGCTCATCTTCGCTGAGACGGCTCGACAGCTCGGCCCAGTCCCGGGTACGAGTAGCCGGGTTGCGGTACTTCTCGCTGCGTCGGCTGTACTTCATGAAACCCCTCGTCTTATCAAGGATCAAAGCGGACCTCTTTTTCTCAGTCTTTGAGTCGCTCACGCTGTCTTCAATGTCCAGCATCTCGGCTTTCTTCTCCTCTCCTTCCGTCTTGTGCTTGGGCTTCTCGGCAGGAGTGCTGGGAAGCTGAGGGATAGTGAATTCGGCCTTCTTAGCAGCGGCTGCCTTGGCAGCTTCCTCCTCCAGAATGCGCTTGTAGTCAGTAGGCAACACCTTGACAAAGTGGGGAAGAGCACGGGTGAAGTCCAGGAGGATACGAGCGGCCAGTTCTGAGCCTGTGTAGTGGTGGTGGTCCTCGATTAAACCGCGAACAAAGGCGATCTCAGCAGGGTCTTCCAGGCCCGAAACCTCCACCATCTCCATATTAACCTTGGAGAGGAAATCCTGATTCATGTCCAAGACATAGGCGATACCACCGGACATACCAGCAGCGAAGTTACGACCGGTCGAGCCAAGAATGAGCACACGACCACCGGTCATGTACTCACAACCGTGGTCACCAACACCTTCAACAACGGCAGTAGCACCGGAGTTACGAACAGCAAAACGTTCAGCGGCCACACCACGGAAGTAGCAGGTACCCCGGGTAGCACCGTAGAGACAAGTGTTACCGATGATGATGTTCTCCTCTGCCTTGTACGCAGCACCGCGAGGCGGATAGACAATGAGACGACCGCCAGAAAGACCCTTGCCCACATAATCGTTGGCGTCACCCTCAAGTTCGAGAGTAATACCAGGAGCAAGGAAAGCACCAAATGACTGACCAGCAGAGCCCTTGATGTTGGCGTGGATGGTGTCCTGAGGAAGGCCGGCTCCACCGTAGCGGCGACTGACCTGGTAAGACAGAGTAGCGCCCAGGGCACGGTCAGTATTGACAATGTCACACTCAACTCTGCAAGGCAAACCCTTCTCCAGCGCCAATTCGGACTCCGCGATCAGCTTGTTATCAAGGCGGACGTGCAGACGGTGGTCTTGCTTGCGGACATTGTAAGTAGCCACGCCAGGACGGAGGGAGTGAGCCGGAGTCAGGATGAGGGAGAGGTCAATTCTCTCTTGTTTGGCGCTGCGAATGTCCTCCCTGACCTTGAGCAACTCAGCACGTCCAACCATCTCGTTGACCGTGCGAATGCCGAGCTTGGCCATGATAGCACGCATCTCATTAGCCACATAGTAGAAGAAGTTGATCACGTGTTCGGGCGTGCCCTTGAACTTTTGGCGGAGTTCGGGATCCTGAGTTGCGATACCAACAGGACAAGTATTCAAATGACATTTCCGCATCATGATGCAACCAAGAGCGATCAAGGGAGTGGTGGCGAAACCAAATTCTTCGGCACCCAGCAAACAGGCGATAGCGATATCGCGACCAGTGCGAAGTTGACCGTCAGTCTGGACCACAACACGACCACGCAGATCGTTGAGGACCAGGGTCTGATGGGTCTCCGCGAGACCCAGTTCCCATGGGAGACCGGCGTACTTGATACCAGTCCAGCGAGAAGCACCAGTACCGCCGTCGTGACCGGAAATCAGAATATGATCAGCCTTGGCCTTGGCGACACCGGAGGCTACGATACCGACACCAACCTCAGACACCAGTTTCACGGAAACACGGGACCGAGGATTGGAGCACTTGAGATCATAGATAAGCTGCTTCAGGTCCTCAATTGAGTAAATGTCGTGGTGAGGTGGAGGCGAGATAAGACCAACACCGGGAGTGGAGTAACGAGTGTGGGCAATGGGACCGACGACCTTGTGGCCGGGCAGCTCACCACCCTCTCCAGGCTTAGCGCCCTGGGCCATCTTGATTTGCAGCTCGTCGGCATCAGCAAGGTAGTGGGAAGTCACACCGAAACGGCCGGAGGCAATTTGCTTGATGGCAGAGCGCATGGTGTCACCATTCTCCAGTCGCTTGCTACGCTCAGGGTCTTCACCACCTTCACCGGTGTTGGATTTACCACCAAGACGGTTCATGGCGATGGCCAATGTGGAGTGAGATTCCATGGAGATGGATCCGTACGACATGGCACCTGTCACAAAACGACGGACGATTTCAGTCCAAGGCTCAACCTGGTCGATAGGAATGGGGCTCCGTTGCTCGAAGTCGAACTCGAGCATACCACGCAGAGTGCAGTTCTTGATCTGCTCATGAGCGGCCTTCGCGTAAGCCTCGTAAGATTTGTCGTTCTTGGTACGGACAGCATCTTGTACATTGGCGATACTGACGGGGTCGTTGATGTGCGCCTCGCCTCCATCACGCCAGTGGTACTCGCCCGATTCAGGAAGTCCGGGAATTTCAATGACGGAACGAGATGGGTATCCGCGTTCGTGGAAGGCATACGCATCCTGAGCGATCAGCTCAAAAGTCAATCCACGGATGCGGCTGGCAGTTCCAGCGAAACACCGGTCAATGACGCTGTCATCAATACCGAGAGCCTCGAAGATTTGGGCACCCTTGTATGACTGCAGGGTAGAAATACCCATCTTGCTCATGACTTTCAGGATACCTCCGTCGCAAGAAGCCTTGTAGTTCTCAATGACTTTCTCATCGGAAAGTTGCTTGCGAATCAACTTCTCGCGGTTCATCTTGAGAATACACTCCATGGCCAGGTAGGGATTGACGGCAT